TGATTGTTATTATTATAAATGACTGATACCACTTCTTTTTAAATTGAGTGCTTCGGCGATCGCTTTTTCTATTCGGTCATCCGACCATGGTGTCCAATATCCTTTTTCTATCTTTGAATCCTCTTCAAGTGATAATTTTTCAGTCTGTCTCAACGAAGAAGGTCCTGTAAATTTAATATTAATCATAAGCAATTCTTTATGTAGGAAAAGAAATTTAAAAGTCCTAGCAAAAGTATTATAGATAAATCAAACAAACCTGGCGAATTCATGTGATTCCTTTGTGTTAATGACGAAATTGTATTCTTCAGTTTAAGTTCATAACCAATAGGTTTAGGTAAATTTTTAAATCTCTGTAACGTTTCCATTTCAAACATTCCAGATTTTTCGAATATTTCGAAATTTTCTGTTCTTTGCATGATTTAACAAGCTAAACATAGTATATATTAGTATCATATGAAATTTTCATTACCATGAATCAATAATAAAATTTCTGAAAGAAATTGCAACACATAATATTGCGGAGAGAGATTTCAAAAGCATTAACATATAATAATTGTCGATATACTTTAGTAATTAAAAGTATAATTAAGAAAAGTAAGTAATACCAAACTCCGACAAATGCACTTTCCCTTTGTTTCAGATGCAAGCCAAAATGACGAAAATACGAAAATGCGTAGTTAATGTTTTTTACTTCCAAATATGAATAAAATATATCAAGCAGGAAATGATATGGCGCAAGTTGTCGACCAATGCCAAATACTGTAAGAAATGAGTGTTGAAGTTAGGAAAGATTCCGTTGAAATTGTTGGTATTCAACGTTGAAATTTCTCAACGGATTCATCTATCATTATAATATCGTTAATTAGGCTATGTTTACTACCAACATTTTACATTGATGAAAATAGGTATGTATATGCATGTCGACAAATTACTAACTGTGGATTTGAGACATAAGCGTTATATTGGAAATACTGAATATACAGATATGATAAATTTAGAACGGTATCTATACGAAATGAATTCATTCAGATAAATATGAGAAAACAAACTTAAAATAATTTTAAAAAGCATCGAATGGATTGATAAAATTGTTGCAACAAATTTAAGGAGGTGTCAACAGAATTGTCACCATTAAAAGCATATCATCCTAATATTTCACATATTCATTCAAAGCAAAAATGATACGCTAAATTTAATTCTTTCGAGGCAATATAATTCAGAATGAAAAACATTGTAGAAATAAGAATTGCTGCACATTTACAGGATAGAAGAGCAATTTGAAAATGCTCTGCGGCTTCCACTTATGCTTCTATAAAAAGTCCAAAGGTTAATCCTATTGTTATTATTTATGGCTTTTGAGAGGAATTGATTGACATTGACATGAGAAAAAGTAATTATTTTTTCGTTACCGTATGCTATGCATTCATTACGTCCCTTCATAGATCTAAATTTGATTGGCTAAATGAGAACAGGCTAAAAATTTCAACTCTTCACTTTTCCCTCTACTTAATTAATATTGATCGATCAACCACAAAATATTTTCTAAAAAGAAGAGAGAAAACCAGAGATGAACTCGTAGAAATGGCAAAACAACATCTGATTGGCAAACTCGCGAACTTTATGCATGTTTTAATATTTTATATGAAATTCATCCATCGTATCGTGTAACCATCGCTCTTTCTTCGATGAAAGCATTTTATACGGATTGAAGAGAAAACGGTAAAGGCATTCCATCGTTTGATACAATTGTAATTCATTTACATAACGCCTACTGAAAGTGAACTACATTTACAAATCACTTTGTGTTACTGATGTTCGGGCTCAAAATTCCTGTTAACAAATGAAAATTGATCAGCTCCGAAAATATTGAATGAATAACATTAACTGATAAATAAGCTAATGTTATTCATTCAATATTTTTAAATAAGTGTCTGTCAAATAAATAAGTATCTGTCATGTAATTGATTGATTAATTGCCCTTTGATTGAAGGCAAATTGACGGATCGATGAAAAGATATTTCTTGGTGTTAAAGGTTTCCTTTGATGAAGGAAGTCATCAAGAGTAATGAAAAGGATGAAGG